TTAGTTTGGTCAGAATAGTCTGAGTTATTGCTTTGGTCAGTTCCAGAGTTATTGCAAAATACATTACCTTTGGCAAATGAGCCACCATAGCCACTAGGGGGCCGTGAAAATTCGTGTCCTGGACATTTTAGACTTGTCTAGCCATGTACTAAACCTAGACATCATCTTAAAAAGTAGAGACATCACCTTGCCAACAAAGGTCCGTATAGTAAAAGCTATGGTTTTCCCAGTAGTGATGTATGGAAGTGAAAGCTGGACCATAAAGAAGATCAAACCTATCCATTCTGAAGGAAATCAGCCCTGAGTGCTCACTGGAAGGACAGATCATGAAGCTGAGGCTCCAATACTTTGGCCACCTCATGAGAAGAGAAGACTCCCTGGAAAAGACCCTGATGTTGGGAAAGATGGAGGGCACAAGGAGAAGGGGACGACAGAGGACGAGATGGTTGGACAGTGTTCTCGAAGCTACCAGCATGAGTTTGACCAAACTGTGGGAGGCAGTGGAAGACAGGAGTGCCTGGCGTGCTCTGGTCCATGGGGTCACGAAGAGTCGGACACGACTAAACGACTAAACAACAACAAGCCATGTACTATCTGAAACCAAAGGGGCTCATTGGTTGCCAGACATGATTCCCTCCCCCCCAGCTCTCCTACCCACCACTATAGTGAGCACTTCTCCAATTTACTGCCCTACAGAGGTTTTCCTGACCAGAGCTGATGGGAGTTGCAGTCCAAAACATCTGGAGGATGCCAGATTTGGGAAGGTTTGAGGCAGGCTTCCTCAACCTCAGGCCCCCAGATGTTTTGAGACTACAATTTCCATCATCCCTGACCTCTGGTTCTGCTAGCTAGGGTTCATGGGAGTTATAGGCCAAAAAATCTGAGGTTGAGGAAGCTTGGTTTAAGGGCATAGCTGGTGGTCAGTCCTGATGACATTAGCAAACCTGCAGCCATACAAAGGCATCCATTCACTCACCAACAATGCACTTGGGCGTTGCTGGCGGCAGAATCACTGCAGCTTCCTTCTGGAGACAAAAATAGGGTTGCTCCCTTCACCCCTCTATCAACACATCGTGACCATTCATGTTTTTGCCTTGCCGACAACGTCATTGTCTTCTACTGTTTAACTTACTTTCCCAGTTTATTTTTGTTTTTTTTTTCCTAGTCAAGACTTGGAGACTCCCAGTCAAGACCCCTGACCTGAATTAATCTTTTGCTCTTTTGACTTGGCTCTTTGGACTGGATTTGTTTTCTGCATAATAATATGCCAGCTCCTGAATTCCTGTGATCTCAGTTTTTGATATAAATTGTTCTTTCGTTTGCCCATATACTGTTGCAGGGATGCCCAACCGAGTGATCGGGATTGACAGCTATCCCTCACCCCTCCATGGGTAGATCATGGCCAGTATTTTTATACTGGGAGTAGATTGCAGTCCCTTGGGAGTTGAACTTGCCTGTACTATTGCATGTGTGCCATGAAAGTCTATGACTTATGGCACAATATATATTTGCTTCAACAGTCAAAGATGGCTACCCTCTGTAAACTAAATAAAGCAAAGCTAATAATTGTATTATTATTATTAAATATTATTACAAAATTGCATAAATAACAATTTATTTTTCTTTCTTTTTAAATAATATTTATTAATTTAAATTACACACATATATAAAGAATTTACAATCTGATACCACAAAAAGAGAAGTATAGAAAAAACAATTAAGAAAAAAGAAAAGAAGAAATTACAGAAAAGAGAAAGAAGAAAAAGCAGATTTAAGTGCATAAAAAAACTTAATCTTCCTAATTAATACTTAAATAAACACTTAAATAAAAACAATTTATTTTTCAAATGAAAGAACATTCTACAAATAAATTTGAAAGTCTCATTCCTTGAAGTGGCATAGCCGATCCACAGGAATATGTTGCTGGACAACATAGAACAAAGGCATTTATATCTTTTTAAAGGCATGTCTCATAAGAACATAAAAAGTGCCCTTCTAGAACACATCAAAGGCACATCTAGCTCATCATCATGTTCTCACATTGACCAACCAGATATCTGTGCAGGACCAGAGTAGAACAGCACTTTCCTTACTTGTGGTTCCCTGTGGGAAGCAACCCAGAACCTAGGATTTAAATATAAATGTGTTTTGAGCACCAGTATTGAGTGGCTTTGGGTTGGCTTAAAATTGAAGAAAAACATGTCTGTCTATTTGTAAAATCAGTTCAAAACAACTCAGATGAAGCTGGAACAATGACAGCAGGAAAATAAATGAAGATGTTTTTGAACAAAGATGGAAGGCAAGAATCTCGGTGATATTTTTAAGCATCACACCTGCATATTTAACATAGAAAAATACCTAATTGCATGTCTGCCTTAACTTTGAGGTATTTGCATATATAAGTACAGTAATTATGCCTTATTTGAAAGTACCATTCTTTTAAGCTTTGGCTTACGGGCTCCTTGAGAAGTAGCTGGAGCAGAAGGCTGTTTTCAACAGAGCTCCTGACTCAAGGCATCAATATCAGCCTGAGCCTATGCATGTTTACTTTGAAGTAAGTCCAGCTGGTGCTTTCGCCCATGTGTGCATACCCAGCTTTGCACTCCAGTGGAAATAGAAACCATGCTCAGTTGGATATAAATCCCATGAGATTCATGGGATTTGCTCTCTACTCAATCCTTCTAGCAACAGAATGACAGCTCCCCACATTAAATGGGGGGCGCCCTTTGCGTGGTCGTGCGCAGCCCCCTGGACCCTATGCGGCACCTATGGTTCATTTGTAGTGCAAGCAGGGTCTGAAACACAATTGTGTGAAATCATAGCCTCCAACTGGCCTCTGTTCTCAGAGACAATCCCTGTTTTCTGCTTCTGATAAATCACTGTCTTCGTGGGGTGCCTTGGTTTAAATTTTGTTTTGCTAGTTGCCAGGTTGCTATTGTTTGGAGTTCATTCCTCTCCCCTAGGCCTGTACAAGCTAAATCCCTGAGTTGAGGCAGGGGATTGATGGAAATGCATCTTGATTCTAATGGCCATACATGTAAATGTACATGAAAAGCAGAATACAGTGTTGTGCACAAGCTAGTAAGGCTTGGATTGTTGATAATGGGCTGTAGGGCAGTCTGTTTTCCTAGTGTAGTGGATAGTGAGCCAAAAAAGCAAACCATTTCATAGCTATTACGAAAAGGCTATTGCAGTATGTATGAACGGATGCAACAATGTACAGTGGTACCTCGGGTTAATAACTTAATTCATTCTGGAGGTCCATTCTTAACCTGAAACTGTTCTTACCTGAGGTACCACTTTAGCTAATGGGGCCTCCTGCTGCCACCGCCACCGCGTGATTTCTGTTCTCATCCTGAAGCAAAGTTCTTAACCCAAGGTACTATTTCTGTGTTAGCAGAGTCTGTAACCTGAAGTGTCTGTAACCTGAAGCGTCTGTAACCCGAGGTACCACTGTACAGGCTTGAGTGGAGCTTTCAGTAATGGGCAATGAGGAGTAAGGAGAGCCAGCATTATGTACTGGTTAAGAGCAGTGGACTTGTAATCTGGTGAACCTGGTTTGCTTCCCCGCTCCTCCACATGCAGCTGCTGGGTGACCTTGGGCTAGTCACACTTCTCTAAAGTCTCTCAGCCCCACTCACAGAGTGTTTGTTGTGGGGGGGGGGAAGGGAAAGGAGATTGTTAGCTGCTTTGAGACTCCTTAAGGGGAGTGCAAGGTGGGATATCAAGTCTAAACTCCTCCTCCTCCTCCTCCTCCTCCTCCTCCTCCTCTTCTTCTTCTTCTTCCTCAGGGCACTCAATCAGTGTTGCTTGGCATGCATATATGGGTATTATAAAATATCCTTATTTATAACTGTGAAATGCTGGAGGATCTGTAAATCAAGATGTTCAGAGCCATATTAATAGTTTCATATTAATCTGTCCAGCTAAACAATTTTAAGATGTAATCTTAAATACAAACCAGTTGGACATATTTCAACTTGGCTTAGATCAAGTTATTTCATGCAAAGTAAACCTTAAGTTTGTCAACATCTGTGGCAAAGGTTTTGATAAACCTTTATATATGTGATGAATTTAGAAACAGACAGGTCTTCTTCTTCTTCTGCTTCTTGCAATAGTGCTTGGGCCTGAACAAATGCTATTGGCACAGATTTTCTTTGTCAGTGGACCAATTTTCCATTGTTACAATGAGCTCTTAAAGTCCTTGTTTATGTACTGCAAATCATAGGGGGATAAGTGGTGATAGCAGGCATTGATGAGCACTTAATTGTGACAAGTTCTTTAAAAATCTGTGGTTTTTTGGTATGTGTTGTTGGACGCCTTGCTGAATGTTCAGCTAAGCATGGGGAAGGGAGCACAGACTTTTATTACAACTTCATTAAGCGCTTGGAAGATTGCACTTTGGAGAACGCTATCTATAAGCATGTGCAATTGCGCAAGTAATTGCATCTACACTCTTGGAATAAGCTGTCTAGAAAACTAGCTTTCTCAGAATACATGCATTGAAATCATCATCAAGGAACTGCTTGGTAGCAAAGGGCGATGTGCAGTTCTATATTTTGTGAGCATATAGATCTTAAATGGATCTGAGGTGATAACAGCTTAGTTTTTCATGAATATTTACAGCAATGTCAAAAAAAAACATGATTTTTTTGGGTAGCCCTGTTCACCTATTTCATGGCTCTTGCTTATTTTTACTTCCAATTTGTTTCACTTGTTCTCCATGGATAATCAGATAGCCAAATCTAATTGGTTAGGCCAAGGGTATCCAACATGGTGCCATCCAGATGTTATTGAACTCTAACTCCCATCAGTCAGTAGTCAGGAGTGATGGGAGTTGTTATTACCAGTATCTGGAAAACACTACATCAGATAATTCATAATAGGATCCCTGATTGGCCAGGCCGCCCATGTGACTAATTTCAACATTGCTGTCAAAGTTAACCACAAATGCCTTCAGTGATGTCACAATCTAACCAAGACATTTTGCGGCCCGAGAAGTTGGTGCCCCCTCCATTCCATGCACAAAGGCTGACTGGGCAGGCTGCTGAACCTTACTTCAGTACTGACAAAGGATAGCATCTTCCAGGTAACTGAGGGCTGCAGGCAAGTTTATGCGGAGCATGATATGACTGGGGAACACATAGGTTTGATTTCCAGCAGTGGAGAATGACCAGGCTGCTCATGAGGAACAGCTAGAGGGCTGCCATTGCTTACCATCTGTATCTGCCACCTGAGGTGATTGCCTCACTCTGTCTAATGGTAGGGCAGATCTGTAGGGAATACTGGCTAGCTAGAGGGACAAATCAACTTCCTATGTTGATTCCATTATTTTTCCAACATCACCAACTGGATAAATGGGTCTCAGCCATGAGTGTCTATTTTATATATTTTTTTTATTTTTTATTTTTTGTAACTGCTGGTTTGTTTGTTTTTTTAAAAAAAACTTTCAGTTGTTTTTAATTGTACATTGCCTTGAGACAATTGTGCAGGAGGTGATTCACAAATCCATTTAAACAAATCTCTCTCTTCCAGGAAAAAAAACAACAACCCAGCCCTCCACTGTTGAAACTAAATTTTAAAAATTAATATCCGGCAGAACAGTTATTCAAATACTGTATCTTGCCACACAACCTAAATGGCTTTGGCAAGATATATGGGACAGAAGAGAATAAATTTAACCTGAATGTCAGGTTAATTTGCTAACCTATTATAAAATACATAGCTAAAATGGGCACTCAGATTGATGCAGTATCTGTAAAGCAGTCAGGAACTGTTTCTTTACTATAATAAAACATTGTAAGGTGTTATACTTCATTTTGGAAGGAAGAAGGGGGTTGGAGAAACAGTGTTATATATCCAGATTTGGTTTCTCAGTCTTCGTTCTTTTGAAAATGTCATTTAAATTAAATAAAGGAAAACATGGGAGTTCTGAGAGTTGAATAAACATGCTGTTCTTTCAAGCCTGTTGGGGACATAACCTCTTTTGTTTCGGGACATAACCTCTTTTGTTGACTCTATAAAGACAGGAATATTGAGAATCTGGCAGAACAGTTCTGAACAGATCTAATGGCAGAGCAGGCCCCTACTCTGAGTCTAGGTGCCCTGACACAATCTAGTACCTAGGCAGGAGTTAGCACATACATCCTAACGTCATATTTATGGCAGATCCATTCCTTGACCCATACCAATTCTCTCAATTCTCTGGGCTAATCACGGACCAAATCCACCCTAGGACTTACATTTTAAACATCCATCCAAAACTTTTGCATCTTTAGTCAGAAGTAATGAGTTCAGTTGAACTTTTCTGTGCATAAGAGTAGAGCATGGGTAGGCAAACTAAGGCCTGGGGGCCAGATCTGGCCCAATCACCTTCTAAATCTGGCCCATGGACAGTCCCAGAATCAGTGTGATTTTACATGGGTAGAATGTGTGCTTTTGTTTAAAATGCATCTCTGGGTTATTTGTGGGGCATAGGAATTTGTTCATTTTTATTTTTATTTTCCAAAATATAGTCCCGCCCCCCACAAGGTCTGAGGGAAAGTGGATCAGCCCCCTGCTGAAAAAGTTTGCTGACCCCTGAGAGCCTTGCAGCTACAGAAACAAACCCCTTCAAAAGTCAGTGCAGAGGTTAGGGTGTCAGGAGACCAGGGTCTTAAGGCATGAATTTACTATTCAGACATCATCCAGGTCAGTCTTATCTACCTCACAGGGTTGTGGGGATGAACACCTTCAGATCTCCTTAAGGTCCTCAGTGGAATGACAGCATGTGGATCTTGCTGTTTTTACTGATGTTGATTTCAGTGAAGAAGTTAGGCCTGAGCTCCAGTCCTAATGGAACGGAAAAGTGCTTGCTTTTTGCTGGATCATGTCCTGAATGTGCTTAGGCCTGAGTCTTTCATTACTTTGCCAATAAAACAGGAGGCCAGTTTCCTTTGCTGACACCTCCAAATCCTCCTGGGATAAAAGGGGGAAAATAACAATTCCACACTTGCAGCACAAGCTGCTTCAGGCATTTAAAACTTTCTTTCATTTGCCAAACTGATTTTTGAGCAGAATGGAAGAATCCTGCTGGGCCTTAAGGCTTCACTAAAGCTGGAACAGGTGAATGTGCATTTTTCCCCAATCAAAGAAACATTTAAAAATGCCTCTCTCCCTTGAGCACTAGAGGACATGACATTTGTTTGAAGCTGAATTTTGTATCTTTGTGCCTTGTCTGGGCAATGAAGTCTCTCTCACTCATTATAAAAACTATAACTCACTACAGGTAAACCTAGCTCCATGTACCTGACATAAATACATATTCCTTATGTGTTGACATTTGCCTCTGTCTCTCCTCCTCCCAATTCTCTGTTGTTACAGTCAAATTTAGGACTGTAAACCCCTTGGGGCACAGACCTGTCATGCACTTTTGATTTCTTCATTTCCTCCTCTAAATTTATTTTGAATTTGCAAAACAACATGTTTAGTCATGTCCGATTCTTCATGACCCCATGGACCAGAGCACGCCAGGCACTCCTGTCTTCCACTGCCTCTCGCAGTTTGGTCAAACTCATGTTGGTGGCTTCAAGAACACTGTCTAACTATCTCGTCCTATGTCGTCCCCTTCTCCTTGTGCCCTCCATCTTTCCCAACATCAGGGTCTTTTCCAGGGAGTCTTCTCTTCTCATGAGGTGGCCAAAGTATTGGAGCCTCAGCTTCAGGATCTGTCCTTCCAGTGAGCACTCAGGGCTGATTTCCTTAAGAATGGAGAGGTTTGATCTTCTTGCAGTCCATGGGACTCTCAAGAGTCTCCTCCAGCACCATAATTCAAAAGCATCAATTCTTTGGCAATGTGGAAAAGAGTTCCTTTGGAATTAAGTGTAGTGTAGTGGTTAGAGCACGGTGTAGTTATTAGGGTGAGGGCAGAACAGGTCAAACTCCATGGACAAAGACAACAGGCAGAACAACATATATATCAGTCAGTCATGTATTCCAGTACACAGCGGAGGCTGATCTGTTAGGGAAAATGGGGCACTGCCCACCAACATCCATCTGACCACCAACATTCCTCACCTGTTCTGCCCTCACCCTAATAACTACACCGTGCTCTAACTACTACACTACACTTAATTCCCAAGGAACCCTTTTCCACAGGCAAAACGTTATTATGATTCAGGACGTTCTCCTAAGCCCAAACCTGCTTTCCTGCAGCTCACTGGTTCTAGTTCCATCTCAGTCGAAGCAGCACTTAAGGGACAGTGTATAAGTGTTTGGACTACAGCTAAGCCTCTTGGGCTTACTGATCAGAAGGCTGATGGTTCAAATCCCCACAACAGAGTGAGCTCCCATTGCTCTGTCCCAGCTCTTGCCTACCTAGCAGTTCGAAAGCACGCCAGTGCAAGTAGATAAGTAGGTACCGCTGTGGCGGGAAGGTAAACAGCGTTTCCATATGCTCTGGTTTCTGTCACGGTGTCCCGTTGCGCCAGAAGCGGTTTAGTCATGCTGGCCACATGACCCGGAAAGCTGTCTGTGGACAAATGCTGGCTCCCTCAGCCTGAAAGCGAGATGAGCGCCACAGCCCTTTGACTGGACTTAATTGTCAAAGGGTCCTTTAGAGTTAGTAGATTGTAGGTTGAGTTCCCATGTCAAAAGCAGTATTTATCTATACTGAATACAAACCAATGCTCATTTATTTCAAAAATTAAGAGGTACTTAATTGTCAGTACCTCTAAATGGTTTGCATACATCAAACACACATTAAAACTGTCAATAAATTCTCATAGTGCAAAGCAGAGTGGAAGAGTACTTTAATATTGTAAGTTCTCACGGAAGCCCTCAAGGTTTTGCTAGTATTCAAAGGCAACACTCACAAAACAGATCAATCATTTTGAGTCAAGCAGTGACATGTTTACCCATCCAGATTTGACCATCTATGAACTCGCTTTTTTATGCTAGCTGTTGTTATTATGGTGGTTGGGCTTCAAATATATTGTTGAAACTTTCCAAACAATTGCAATATTAGATAAACATTTATGTTTATATCCTTGATTATGTTTTAACCTTATTGCATTTTTAATGGCTGCTAACTCTTGTCAGAAGCACCAACATCACCACACCCCAGAGTGCTATTAGAGATAGTTATAGCCGTGGAGGCATTTGCATGTATTTATTCATTTTTAAAAAAAACTAAACTCACAGCCTACTTTCTCATTGTAGCACTAAAGTATCTCAGCGCTGTATTATCTTCAGCACTTCCATTTGTACGGCTATGGCACATGGTTTAAACTACAGAATTTGCTCCCACAAGATGTAGTAATGGCTTTAAAATACAATTAGACAACTTCATTGCGGATAAAGTCATTAGTGGCTACAAATGATGTGGCTGCTAACCATGACGGCTTGTCTTCTACCTCTATCATCATTGGAGGCAGTAGATGCTTTCTAGAAACTCCAGGACAGGCAAACTCGGCCCTCCAGATGTTTTGGGACTACAACTCCCACCATCCCTAGCTAACAGGACCAGTGGTCAGGGATGATGGGAGTTGTAGTCCCAAAACATCTGGAGGGCCGAGTTCACCTTTGCCTACACCAGGAGGAGAGAAAGCTGTTGCACTCAGATCCTGCTTGCAAACTTCCCATGGGCATCTGGTTGGCTGCTGTGAGAACAGGATGCTGGACAGAGAAGCATTGACCTGGTCTAGGATGCTCTTCTTAAGTTCTTATGAGCTTTTGCTGCCTAAGGCAAAGGACAAGTTGGTGTCTCCCTCCAATCCCATGCACAAAAACTGAGCAGGTTGGAAGTTAAAACTTACTCTGACACTGTCAAGGCCTTCGAGGGCAGGCCATGTGGTAGACACATCTCCTTCCACACCCTGGCCCTCAGCATTTGCTGCCTGGGGCAGCTGTCTCACTCTACCTCATAGTAGGTCTGGCCCTCGTCCTTGCCATAGGGAAATCATGAGGGAAGTTTCATACCCTCCAACATTTCTCCAGTGAAAATAGGGACGTCCTAAGGCAGAGCTTTCCATGTTGGCAACACACTTTTTAGACATGCATCATTTTGCGACACAGTAATTCAGTTTTACGGGACGCGGGTGGTGCTGTGGGTTAAACCACAGAGCCTAGGACTTGCCGATCAGAAGGTCCGCAGTTCGAATCCCCGCGACGGGGTGAGCTCCCATTGCTCGGTCCCTGTTCCTGCCAACCTAGCAGTTCGAAAGCACCTCAAAGTGTAAGTAGATAAATAGGTACTGCTCTGGCAGGAAGGTAAATGGCATTTCCGTGCGCTGCTCTGGTTTGCCAGAAGTGGTTTAGTCAGGCTGGCCGCATGACCCAGAAGCTGTACGCCAGCTCCCTCGGCCAATACAGCAAGATGAGTGCCGCAACCCCAGAGTCGATCACGACTGGACCTAATGGTCAGGGTCCCTTTACCTTTAATTCAGTTTTACTAGCAAACTGGAGGTTAAACTAGCCCCTATCCAGCCCCTGGAGGAGTGCTGGGAGCATTTATGCAGCATGCCTACACACTGCAGCCAACACACTAACGTGTCGCAACGCACAGTTTGGAAAGCTCTGTCCTAAGGAAAAGAGGGACACTTCAGGATCAAGTCAGAAACCGGGATGCAGTGGAAAAAGGTGTGCAAACACAGCCCGGGGTGGGCACACAAGGTGTGCCCCCAAGGGAGGTGGGGCAGCGGGTGTGGAGGGAGCCCGCTGTGGCTCCCCTCGCAAAGCGTACCCAGGAGCAGAACTGCAACCAGGTGCAAAGAGGCTGCGCAGCTTCCTTGTGTGCCACAGTACAGGAGAGTGGCCAGCAGCATTGCTGCCACAGCCAGGCACAAGGAAGCTGCTTGGCAGCTTGCTAGTGTGCTGCAGCCTCTCTCCATGCCCGGGTCAGGCTTGACCCGGGGGTGGAGCTGCCTTGGCCAGGCCAATGGAATAGAAAACAGCCACTGAATAATCGTAGTTGCTTAAAGATTGTGCACACACATTTGGTTACTTTTCTTTGCCAACCTGGTGCCCTCCCTGTGTGCTGGCTGGGGCTGATGGGAGTTGTAGCCCAAAACATCTGGAAGGTTGGCAAAGCTGCATTATGTCTTCAAAACCACAGGTGCAAATGAGGCAGAGGGACCATGTGAGTAGACAGCAGCAAAAATAGTTCCAGACACTCAGAGTTGCCTTAAGGCAAAGAGTCTCCAAGGCACCCTTAAGGCAATGAAGAAAACCCCTTCTCTACATTCAGTGAGAGCTGTAATCGTGGATGAAGACCCTCAGGTCAGGCCCTTACTCTACCCCCCCCCCCGATATCCCCAGGTAATGCTGTGAATTTAGAAAGCTGTTGACTACTTATTTGGGGGGGGGGGGCTGAATATAATTGTGTGCATCCGTGTGATGTTTCCCCTCCTCTTCCCGGTGAAAATGTCTGTCAAGAAGGAAGAGGCCTACTGCAGGTGTAAATAGAAAATTTATGAAGTGGGCCCAATGCATGGTACTTAAGGGATGGATTTAGTATCATCTCAATTGTTGGAACACTGTTAAGTGCCTGTATCTATTTAGGACGAACAAAGGCAAGCGACAAAATTTGTTATGGCGCTCTGTTCCACAGCCTATTCTGGCCTGCAGAGGAGCAAATGGACAGCTGTCAGGAGTCTGCTGCAAATTGCTGAGGCTTGATTAAATGGCATCTTACCACCAGTCCTGTCTTGCTGTGCTGACTATTCAATCTCAATTCCTATTATCCTTTGCCACCTTGTTGTTTCATTGTTTTCTTTTCTCCTGCTTTCTTAAAAAATAAAAAATAAAATCTTATCTAGGCTGACAATTCCTCTGACTTTCCTTTTACCGGTCTCCATCAATTAATAAGAAAAGAAACGTCATTTGAAAATTATCAAGGGAGGGAGAGAAACCAGGTTGCTTCTTATGTGTGGGGTGCAAGTAGGGATGTCAGAGAATTCTGACTAAATTGGAAATGAGAGCAAAGATCACTTATTCGGCTCTTGTCCGAAACAGAAATCGATCCACTGAATAAGATTGTTGTTCCCTGCCGTTGCTGCTTTCAGTATGCAAATGATACATAATCGATTGCATCCCTCTTCTAGTCTGCATTGTATTTGTTTTGCATTGATAGGAATAGGGTGGAAGAATATAATAACAGTGTAATTTACATCATTATGCATATTAATTAAGTTATGTGTTTTATCCACAGCCAGCAGTGGGATGTATAAGACAGTTTTGGGTGTAAGACAAACTGCAGTGGAACAGAAACAGTAATGAATACAGAGCAGAATGAAAAACCATAGAACCATAGAATCAAAACAATGCCTTCTTACACCTTGTAATGGTTCTAGGGTTGCTCGTGCGTAAGCTGGTGCAAACACCCGGCTGGGTTGCCTGAGTGAACCTTTCCTGTCCGGACAGCCACTCACCTGTGGCTGTCTCAATCGCTGGCAGAATCTGTCAGTGGGCGTTTCTTAAACTTCTTCCAGCAAAGAAGCTCTTTGACGCCTAGTCTCCTCCTACTCTCTCTGCGCGAAAGCCTTCTGCGCAAGGAGGGCATAGGCAGCGGAGGACCTCTACTCTTCCCGCTGGTCCCCGGCAAGGAGTCATGGCACCGCCTCGCTGCTTCCCCCATCTGCCCCCCTTCTCCACTGGTGCTACGCTGATTCTCTTCCCCAGAAGATGGGCTGCCTCTCCCACTCCCGGGACGCTCTCCGGAATCCCTCTGGATTTTGCTCTCTCCCTCCGGCACTGATGGCAGTTCCCTGACACACCTTTAGGTGCAGGGCTGTTGTGGAGTGGTTTTTGTTCTCTTCATTCTGAAGTGGCTGAGGGGTGTATGTGATTGTCCTTCATATGCACCTTCTCAGGTACACATGAATCAACTAAATCTCAGGGGAGACATATTGAGGCAACTCCACCATAGAGCTTTTTCAGTTCCAGAAGTGTGGGCAGTCAAGGAGGCTCTGGAGTGCTGGAGAAATGTATACTGGGATGGAAGGAAAAAAAACATGCCCCTTTCTCTTCCACCTTGCAATGATAAGGTGAGTTCGGAACCCCACATTCCCTAAAATACCTAACGAATTCTCAATTGCCCTGAGCACGAGGCAGAGAAATGGAGGCCTCTTTCACAAAGGAAGGAAAGCCCCCCCAGAAACAGAGGGACAGTTTTTTGGCACAACGCTGTTCTTCAAACTCCTCTTGTGCCATGACTACTTTCTCAAACACACTTAGCAGAGTCCAACTAATTGCCACATGACCTCCGCAGCACTTCAGATGCCAGGAATAATTATGCATGATTATTCTGTAATGATGGGATGATAATTACTGCAGACTAGATGCTGACCTTTCATCTGCCAAGGCTAGTGTGTACAACCAGATACGTACCAACAGATTATTTCCCCATATAAACAGCAGGCTTCTTGGGGCACGGAGGGTGCTGCCCTTTACCTCAAACACTTTAGAGTTGCAATTTTTACACAACAGCAACAACTGCATTTTTTAAAATGTAGCAATAGAGAAACAAATTTTGAAGGATGCAACCGTCTTGTATGAAGAAATGTGTCCCCTTCTCTATCCTTATTCTCTTATTTGAATGACCTCAAGTTTTAGTTTAATGGAAGAGGGAGAGCAAGCTTCTAATCTTAGGAGGTGCATAGTAAACAGAACTTTGCCCTTTCAACACCCCCTGCCATATTAGTAGTCTGGAATAACTCCCTCCCTCTGCTTCAGCCTACACTAAAAAATGTAAAGGACCCCTAGACCGTTAAGTCCAGTCAAAGGCGACTATGGGGTTGTGACACTCATCTTGCTTTCAGGCTAAGGGAGCCAGTGTTTGTCCACAGACAGCTTTCCAGGTCATGTGGCCAGCATGACTAAACCACTTCTGTTGCAACAGGACACCGGGACAGAAGCGAAGCCAGAGCGCGCAGAAATGCTGTTTACCTTCCCACCACAGTGGTACCTATTTATCTACTTGTACGGGTGTGCTTTCAAACTGCTAGGTTGGCAGGAAATGGGAAAGAGCAACAGAAGTTCACTCTGTCATGGGGATTTGAACTGCCAACCTTCGAACTGGTTTAGTGGTTTAGACCACAGCGCCACGCGTTTCTATATTACACTATATGAACTTGGCCTGCTGATTTCCCACAGGCATCTAGTTAGCCACTGTGAGAACATGATGCTGAACTGGGCGTGCCTTTGGTCTGATCCAGCAGGCTCTTCTTGTTTACAGTGAATTTCATTATTCAGCTTTTGATCCTTGCTGGCTTAGAGTGAACTGGTGCAAGTTTATATTGATCCATATGAATTTACATAGTTGCTTTAGTAAGCAGCAATTATTAGAGACTTTAGCTGGAATCTCAAAACCGCTCAGGAGACAGTAAACACTGGTTTACAAAATGCATCAACAACAGACCTTCGGCAAAACAGAGATATACCTCTTATGTCTAATTAATGTGACCTTTCTTTCCTCTCATCCGACATTTAAGATTCTTTTCTTTAAGTAGGGTTAGGAGAGAAAATATTGTGATTTGGCTGAAATTTCATTCAGAATAAATACACTGGGACTATAAGACGTATCTCAAGGAACTTGTGCTTTTAGCTAAATGATAGAAATCTAGGTCTCTCTTGTTGTGTGATATTTTTTTTAAATGTATATTTATATATATCCATGGCTAAATATATTTTATTTATTCTCTAAGGTAGTGGAATTCAAGGGATGCCTCCATGGGGGGGGGGATGTGGCTTGAAGAAGTGGCTGTGGTGGCTTCCGGGTTCCCCACAAAATCTCGCAAGATCCCCTCAAGATTACACAGAGGCATGCCTCATACAAACTTCTGAAGAACCCAATAAGTGAGACAAAGTGCTTTACTTACCAGGGGTGTCAGGAAAGCCACATGAGGCCTCTGGAGACCTTGACGAAATCTTGTGGGGCTCTTGCAAGATCTCACTGGAACCCAGAAGCCTCAGCTGTGCCCCTCTGGTAAGCAAGGTTTCAGCAAGGGCAGAAAGTGGGGGCAGGTGAAAAGAGAAGACTGAGAGGAGGTGTGATAGCCATTGTGGCGATCACACAGGGTCCCCGGATGTTTCACCGTCTATTGATGTGTCACCACTTTATTTCTCGCTGCCACCACCCAGGCCCTACCTGGTACAATACTGAGTCCAGTCAGCGTTAAATTGGAACATAAACTTCTGTTTCTTTATTGCAGTTTAACAAGTGTGAGGTTTCATAAACGGTATTGGTCAATTACAGTCATGGGGTGCCTATCCAGACCTATAACTTCTGCTACCTGCTCTCACTCACTAAACCACCTCTCAGATATTTACTTGTCTTCCGAGCCCCTAACTGTTCCTGACTCAGCTTATTTCTCTACACTAACTCAACCTACCCACAGACTCTATCCCAATTCACTTCCACCCAACTCCCAACAAAGTCCTCCGTTCGCCCCTCCCAGAGCTGGTTTTATAGTCCCTCTGACTCCAACCCCCCTCGGTTCTGATTGGGTAACCTGTTTAACTATTTCACCTCCAGCACTCTCATATGTTAACGTCACAGCCATCTCCAAATATCTCAAGGGCTGTCACATGGAAGATGGAGCAAGCTTGTTTTCTCCTGCTCTGGAGGGTAGGACTCAAACCAATGGGTCCAAGTTACAAGAAAGGAGACTCCGACTAAATATCAGGAAGAAGTCTTTTAAGCAGAGGTTGGATGATCATCTGCCATGGATGCTTCAGTTGAGATTCCTGCGTTGCAGGGGGTTGAAATAGATGACTCTCGGGGTCCCTTCCAACTCTACAATTCTATGATTCTAAGTGACTTTAACATGGCATTGCCCTAGATAGGAACCTGTACACCTGGAGGGGCCACTAGGGGCACATCGGAAGATGGCTGACAATAACATCTCTTTGACCCACATGAGGTAATTAAGAGGCTGTGATGGGAGTAAACAGCCTCCCTGCCCCCCCAAGCGTGGGGGGGGGACTGCCCTTGCCTGCTGTGCCCTATACCACCCCCGAATTTGTGGGGGTGGGGGCCCTAGGCAGAAAACCCTTGTGCGGATCTCGGCGCTCCTGGACGCTGTCTCTGATTCGCGCCTCTAGCTGCAGCAACTTCAAAAGAAACAATCAGGAGGAAGCTAATGCACATATTTCAAGGAAGAAGGGGGAGTAAAGACTGCTAACTGAAGAGATCTCTGATAAACAAGACGGGTCGGAGGAACAAGAATAAATCATGAGAAGACACACCAAGGCTCGTTATGTTCGGCAATGGGACTGGCTGGGGGAGGGGGAAAAACTTTCCTTTCTTTTCTCTATGTGATTAACCAAGAATCCCCCCCACAAGTCACAAGTCAGAAATGCCATTTAAATGACTTAAGCTGTGGATTTAAGACTGTGTGGAGATAATTTTCTAACCAAAGCATGTTTCAAGAAGTTCGTGGAAAGCATAAGAGCTTTGGAATGACGCAGTAAAAAATACCGTCGCCATTTTGGCAAGTTCTGTTGGAAGACTTAAGTCTGGGAGGAGGAACAGAGCTGTTTTTATATTGTGGGTGAGCCTCCTCAGAGGGACTAAAGAGCGACAGATTTGAGAGATTAATGATGGAAAGAGTGCCGTTATTTATGAAAGTGATGATATATGGAAACCATCTTGATATGATGATTGGACGAACGGAAAAAATCACACAGGATTATAAATTGGTGTTTACCTGCTTAAGGAGATTATCAGAAGAGATCATAAAGAAAAAAAGAAAAACATATGAACAAGATGAGATGTGG